AAAAAAAAAGAAAAAAACTTGTATGAAAATTGTACCCTTAAGTTTGATTGAGTGTTAGAAGTAAGGGGCTTACTCTAATATATTTATATAAATGTGGAGGATTTTGAAATGTTGTTCTACTTGTGAAACATAGATAAAACACGGTTTATTTCGTAACTTGAACCTCAGTTGGCTTTTCATTTTGTAATTAGGTTGCACCTTGATGATATGTTTTGCATTTAACCCTTTAGAGTTGTTGATTGTTCTCACGGTTGTTGCTGCATTTCTTGTTCGTTTTGGATTCCAAAAACAAAAAAAAATTAAAAAAATTTAAAAAAATAAACAACTCTTGGAGCTATTTATTTCTTTCTACTCTGAAAAATACAACCTTTTGTTCATTTATGTCATAGGAGATGATGAATCTTGAACATGGAACTCTTCTTGAAGGTACTGTCAAGACAGTGTTCCCATATGGAGCCCAGATAAAGATAGGTGATACTAATAGGAGGTAAAAAAATCTATATTAACAAAGTTGTTATTATATTTATCACATGCAATAAGAATTTATCTATCTTTTTTGCAGCGGGTTGTTGCATATTACAAAAATAACCAAAGGGAAAGTTACTTCGGTCAGTGACTTACTGAAAGTTGATGAAAAGGTTAAAGTTCTGGTAGTGCCGTCTACAATTCCTGATAAAATTTGTCTAAGGTAATGTTGATTAGTTCCTTGATTGCAATATTTTCATTTTTGGTCCAGAAAATTTGTTCAATAATTTCATGTGTTACTGTTGTAGATAGTGCATCTATTAAGGAGAGTCATTTGTGATGCAAAATAAAATATCAAGAAGTATTTGTTATTTTTTAAAAGACAATGTATCTTGTTATTAAATTATCTTGGTAGGTAAATGTCTAGTTATGTTTAATCAATACCAGTTGTCAGGAAGAACACATGATAAGAATTCAGCAACTTAGTTGCATTTTTTTTTTTTTCATCTTGTGGAGGATCTGAACTTACTGAGCTTGTAAAAATGTAGTCCAACTTATTATCTCTGTAAAATTGGACATGCAGTATTGCGGATTTGGAAAGTGAGCCTGGTTTATTTTTGTCCGACAAAGAGGTACGATTTTTTTTTTTCTTCTTCTTCTTCTTTATATTGCGTAAGTCAAGTGTGTTCTTGGGCTTTTATTGTTTTCCATTTGTTTCAGAAAGTATTTTCTGAAGCTAAAGAGATGGCAAAGAAATATAGGCAGAAGATGTCGGTTATTTCTGCAAAAAGAAATTTAGAGGCACTTCCCACGAATGGCTTGCCTTTTGGAGACGAGGAAAGTTTGTACGCCAACTGGAGATGGTTTAAGTTCGAAAGAGACGGTGAAATAAATACATGACATTTCGATAGAATGAGAAGTAAAAATAGAATATTTTAGAGCCAAATATGTTCCTCTTACAAATATATTTGTGTTGAAATACACGGGTATCCTACGAATTGAAATGTATTTTTTTCTTTTTTTTTTTAGTTTTTACAACTTGAACTAAAGTATTGAAAAATTACAATAAAACTAAAAATAAATTACAAGTAGTAAACGGAAAGATTATGAGCTGAGGCGAGTAAACTCTTGACGCAAGATGAATACGCTCCTGAAGAGTCTGGCGGTTCAGGCATATTGTTTTAAAAAATACAATGACGGTCATCTCAAAATCTGTAGCACATCAAACTTACGAGTTCTAGCCAAGTAGAACGGAATTTAGAACTGGGCACATATAAATAGAAGTGATTTTCTATATATCTAATAAAATTCTCTTATTATTTTAACTCAAATTTTCTTCTACGTTTTCATTTCATTTTTCTCTTTATTCTTGTCATTTTTTAATTCTGAAGTCCATATGCAATACACACATTTGCTTGGTGAACGTTTTACGAATGCTACACACATTGTCAGAGTTTGACAAAAGCTTCACGC